ACTTCTCCTAGATCACCAACTTCTTTTATATCACCCACGCAAAGCTCACCGACCGGGCATGATCATAAAGCACCACACAAGCATCCATGCAATTATACACGAAGCAAACAATAAAACTAAATTAGAATATTACACTAAACATATGAAACAACAAGTAAAAATGTTTTAAAGATGTTCTACACGTTACTACGAACACAGACATGAAAAGCACGCTAATCGGAGCTATAACGAAAAGTTATGAACTAAACAAGATTTCCTTTAATAAAATAATAGATTAAATCTAACCGCAAATGTCAAAAGTTGAAAATATACCTAACATTAATACAAACATGTAGATTACTCAATTACAAATCTAACGCAACTTGAATGGGTCAAATCGGAGTTAAAATGGAGATGATATGAGCAAAACAAAATCAGCGACAATTTTGTAATTATTTTTAGTTTTAAAATAAAAGAAAACGAATTAAAACTTCTTCGTGGACTTGGCGTCGTTTTTAAGAAAACATAGGGGTCAAAACATAAAAACTAGGGGCATGTTTTTAATTACTTTTCAACTACTCTGGATGGCGGGTTGATTTCTGGAAAATCTAGGGTTTGTTTAGCAAACTGTTCATGCAGTCAGCGCGGTCACTAGTTTGGCACACACGTGGTGATAGGTGGCGGTCTCTGAGTGGCTGGTCTACGGTGAACGCTGACATAGCCTGCTGACGTGGATGGTGCGCTTGGTCCATACTGTGCTGTGCACCAGAGACAAACCGGTACGCAACGATCTAATCCGAGCCATCGGTGGAGAGATAGACGGCTGCGGGCTTACGGGGAGAGATGGACGCCGGGGCGGCGCTCTCGCATGGCGGCGCACCATGGCTAGGGAGCAGAGGACCTCGCCGCCGTTCGTCGTTATCGACGTTCCGGACATCATTGGTCAAAAAGAAAGCACGGGGAGAAAGAGGAAGTCACGGCGAACTCACCAAGGGTTTTTTCGAAGTCGAAGACCAGATCGCGGCATCGGGCAGCACAGTGGGGCAGACGGCGAGCTCTGGTGAAGATTCGGCGACGCGATGCGAGTGAGCTAAAGCGAGAAAAAGAGAGAGAAGGGGCTCGGTGGCTTCGCAAGCTTGACGCGAATCTCGGGATCGGCTTACGGTGGCAGCGGAACGGCTAGGCAAGCACAGCGGCGGCGAGCTCCTTCACGGCGAGATCCGAACAGTGGCGCTAGTGCACAGGGTGGCGCTGCGGCTTGGTTAAAGGTTAGGTGGGAGCGGAACAGTGCCAGCTCGGTATTTAAGAGGCTAGCGGCCGTGGGGCGCACGCTACGACGCGTGAACGGGGCTGCGCAGGAAGGGATAGAGCTGGGCCATGCCGAAAGAGTGAGGGGAAAAGAAGAATTTCTTTTCCATTTTTTTATATTTCAAAACTACATTCAAATATGAACCAAATCAAGTTTGAATAGGGTTTCAAATACACTTTTTAATTCAAAATAAAAATGAGCAATTTTGGTAGGCTTTCCAAAAATAAGCCGCCCACAGTGAACCACCGTGACTATCGCTACTGGATTTGGAACCCGCTGTAAATGCAGGTTGTGAAGTTGCTCCCGTTATTAACCTACTACGTACATGATTCTATTATATTGTAAGAAACACGATGAGATGATCAGATAATTTAACGTGGATGCTTTGTTTGAAAAAAAAGACTTTTTTACTCCAAAACTTTGGTAGAAAAAATGATTTTTTTATTCGAAAACTTTGGTAGATATATATAAAGTAATGCCAACATTCTTGTTCCGGCCACAGGCGGAGGGCTCGGTATGGCGAGGTCTGCGGATGCCCCACTTGAGGCGACCCACGCAGCAAAGAAGGCGCTGGTCACCCATGAATGGATCACGCCACGAAACACAACACAGGCACACGCAGGCCCACACGGCCACACTGACCACACAACGGACGGAGCGAGTGGGCCTAAACTGCTCTTCCCTAATCTAATCTCGATTGGAGGCGACGGACTGCCGGAGCGAGGGGACGGTCACGACGCCGCCGGACACCCTGACAGCCTGACGCCTGAGACGCGGTGAGTACACCACACTTTCCCAGTTCCCCTAGTCTAATCTCTTGTGCTATTTGCTAACATCACAATTAATAAATTATTTAATTATTTAGCATCGTGTTTTTTTAATATTTATGCAGTTATGAAAAGAAACACGGATATTGCATCTCTTTTTCAAAAGCATGTAGCGAAGAAGGCGGTGGCGGCAGTTGCTACATCTAATCGTTCCCCAGATCCCTGATCCAGTTGAACCTGTGGTGGAAGAGTAGACTCATGTAACACCCCGACCCGGGAAGACGGTAAGGCCCACTCTACACGTTAAATAAACCACACTTGCTAATTAACTCTCTTGCGCTTTCGTCCTCGCTTCGTGCAAAAGGATCAATCCGAAGTTAACAGCCTCTCAGGTCCAGGCTTTTAAGCTGGTCTAGCGTTGGTTCATTTCCGCTATGGGACTAAACTGGGAATACTGCACTGATGCTACAGTACCCCAAAGCTACGACACCTCATCGCTACAGTGTCGCGAATTCGGTTCGGCCCAACTGGCCCAATGGGCTGGGTCTCACAACTTATGAGAGAGTAATTGAGGAAATTACTTCTAGCCATGGTAACGACAAGTGTTGAAAGGGTATTTTCTGTAATGGTTTTAGTGAAAACAAAGTCATGAAATAAGATGGGAGATAGCGTTTTAGATGATTGTCTAGTCACTTTCATTGAGCAGGATATTTTCTTTGAAGTTAATGAAGATGATATAATCAAGATATTTATGTCCCTTCGAAAAGCTTCGAATAAAACCCTCAAAAAAATAGCATTGTAAGTCTCTAATACTTATTATGCCTATATTTTAATTATCGATATGACTTTTGAACTATTTATATTGTATTTAGTGGATGGTTTCAACTTAATACATGAATTTAAGCCTTATTGTGTTACTTAGTGCATATATACCAAATCACGTTGTTAATTTTTAAATTATTACTGAATTGGTAAAATAGATTTATCGAATTGTATATAAAATTTTTTGGACGGCATACCCTAAACTAAAATCCTAGATTCGCCACTGCAGTATTGCCTTAGTATCTAGGCTTAGGCATGTCAAAAACTCAAAATAGAATATTTCCTTTGATCTTTATCTTTACTCATAGCCATGCCATTTGTTCTTGCTTACATGTAACTTTCTTGAACCAAGGGCTGAAGCTACTGTAACCAACTGCTACGTAATATATTGTTCTGACATCGCACAGGGGTATTCACCTTGTTAATAAAAATCTTTTGGCTTCGGAAAAAAGGAAAAAAAATCCTTTCCAGTGAGAAAGCTGGTCCTAAGACCTAGATAGAAATGCAGTAGTAGGGGGACCCACGTGTCAAACTATGAAACCAGGCAACCAGGTTGACTCGGGACCGGAGGTGTCGAATCCTGGCGCCACCGCAGCTCCTGCTGCATGGACTCTGCCACTGCAACTCCTTGTGCTAAACTCTTCATTGCAGAGCTCTTGGCGAGCCCATGTCCTAAACGACCCTGCTCTTCGTCAGATCAGGCTCCTTCGTCCCCTTCCCCTCCGATGGTGGTGGTTCCTCTGTTGCAGACCCAGTTCGCCGTCAAGCAAATTTGGATATGGGGTACTACATGGTTTTGTCCCATGTCACACACACACGTAAATCCAAGAATGAAGCCGTAAATAAATCACATGACAATGCAGGCTAGCTAGGATACATATGGTCTATGTATATCTGCAGGGCTGGCAGCGTCCGGCGCCGGCGTGGCGAAGGTAGTGAGCTCTTGCCGCAGCCCCATCCGCGCTACTCGGCGTGGTTGACGTTGGATCCCACTCGGCGGAGGAATGAAGAGAAGCAATAAATAAAGTGCAGGCGGAAGGAACTTGAAGCAGCGGGCTTCCTTGATGGCCTCCGCCCTCCATGGTCATCGGTCTCCATGGCAGCCGATCTCGAGGGAACTGCGGCGGGTAGGGGCACCTGAGGCAGCGGCGGGGCAGGATCTATCTGTGCGCCGGCTCTCCTCCCCGCCGCCCGCAATCTCCTTCGCACCTCGACCGGCGGCGGCCTTGCTGGGCCACGCGGCCTCGCGCTAGCGGCAGCGGTGTGGAGCGTTGCCCTCCTATCGTAGATCGAGTGTGGCAGAGCGGGCGAGGGAGGAGTTGGTGGTGAGGAGCGTTGCCGTCGGGAGGAGGCGACCGCCGCTCTCTTCCTGTTCCGGGAGGAGACGGCCGACGGCGGCGTGGAGGAGGCGATAGCCCACGGAGGAGACGGCCAGCGGCAGGATAGCTGTTCGCGTCCTCCCTAGTGTCGGTCTTTTTTTTTTATTCGGTGATCGAAGTATTCGAAACCTGACCGGCAATGCTACGAGGGCGGAAGCGCGCGGGGTGAGGAGGGCGCGGGGGTGCGGGGGTGAGAAGGCGGGGTGACAAGCCTGACATCCCACGTCCAATCATGGCCATCGGATTTGGATTAGGTGTTTTATTAGCCCTTGATTTTAATGAAGACGAATTTTTGTATGTAATTTTGTAGGTGCACAATGGTTATAGACTCTCAGCGGGGTCATTTTTTTTGGACCTAGTGTAATTTTGATTGGTCTATTATAGTAGAGATGAGCCGCCGACAGTGAACCACCGTGACTATCGCTACTAGATTTGGAACCCGCTGTAAATGCAGGTTGTGGAGTTGCTCCCGTTATTAACCTACTACATACATGATTCTATTATATTGTAAGAAACACGATGAGATGATCAGATAATTTAACGTGGATGCTTTGTTTGAAAAAAAAGACTTTTTTACTCCAAAACTTTGGTAGAAAAAATGATTTTTTTACTCGAAAACTTTGGTAGATATATATAAAGTAATGCCAACATTCTTGTTCCGGCCACAGGCGGAGGGCTCGGTATGGCGAGGTCTGCGGATGCCCCATGCTCTTCGATCTTGAAGGTTTTGAATATCCGGCCGCCATGGCTGATGATCTGAGCCGAGAAGACGAGAAACAGAGAAGGAAGAAGATGTTGATGTCCTTTCATATAACCGAGAAGACGGGCGGAGGGGTAGAAGCCGACGAACCGCGATCTGTGCACGGGCAGAAGCCGAGCCGATCTGTGCAGAGCCGGTGTCATGCGAAAATACAACACACTGCACGACGCTAGCAGCAGCTCCGACACAGCGTCCGCCTCTCGACATGCAGCCCAAGTACGATTGCAAACGGCGCGGGCCACGCCGTCAGCCCGCTGGGCCAGACCACGCCGCGAGCACGCATCAACCCGCACAACAGCCCATCTATCCGAAGCGGGTATGGGGAGCGGACACACGAAGCCCAACGGCGCCGCTCCAACCCGTCACGGACTCACGGGCGACTCGTGCCCCGCCGCGATGTATCCAAGAGCGCCACCGCCGCCGCCGCAACAGGCGACTCAGCCGCCGCCGTCGCAACCTCCACGGGCGGCTCGTCCCCTGCCGCGGCCATCGCCACGGGCGACTCCGCCACTGCCGCCCTACGCCCCGGCGCCGTTGGGCCCTTCGCCGGCGATGAGCACCCACCAGGTATGCCCAGCCCTTCCCTCCCCTCCTTTCTGTGTCCGCTCGTGTAAAGTTTTTCTCATTTGGGGTAGATGGGCGGGTGTCTTTTATCGAGCAATGTCTTTTCAAGGCCGTCACCAATTGCTATCGGTAGTACGAAGCTGAGATGCAAAGCAGATCGGATCAAGCTGTAGTCACAATCAGCTGGAATGAGATACTGCAAATCAGTTGCACTATTGCTGAAAACAGCATATGGCAACTGAAAGCAACAACACCAAAAGATATATTTTCCACTGATCCATGATTTGTTTTCTGCTGGAAAAGCAGCATCCACTTATTTTAGTGGCCTAGTTAAAAGACTGAAAATACAGTGACTGAATAGAATGTCTAGCCAAAAAACAAATTGCTCCTGCCACCACCAATCTGTCCCGTGGTGATTGCCTCATACAGTACAATACAAAATGCTAATGAGCGTCTCTTCTTGCAAAATGCTAATGAGCATCTCTTCTTGCAGGCTGCGGTTGTACCTCACCTGCATCGGGAACGCGCTGGAATTCTTTTTTAGCTTCAGCTCTGAGGCTCCTCCTCCTGCTGCTACTGTTCCCAGTTCATCACGAGCCGACGAGCCTGCTGCAGTTGCAATGGAATCAACACCTGGTGGCACTACCACCACCACTATATTGAGAAGAAAGGTGAGTTGTGATATGAAGTTTTTCTTGTTGGATGCCGTACTGCAATTAGAACACTAGCTCATGCCGTCTCTATTTCTGCTGTCTTGTTGGGTCTCCATTTATTTTGCAGTTAGTTGAAATAACAGTGCTGTCATTTGTACTGCTGTGTTATGTAATAGCTATTTGTGTTCTCTGAGTTTCAGTCCTGTAATAGCTATTTTAGTTCTGCAGTTCACATTTTGTTCCCATGTGATGCAGAAAGTTTCCTCATCATCAGCTAAGCGGAAGCAATCCGGAGTGAAACAGTGAAAAGAACAACCAGCAAAACGGTTGAAGTCACCAGCAGGGCCAATGTTGCCACTCATTCCAGCAAGATCAACAGGGATAAGGATGATGCTATCATCCCCAAGGGTATCCCCAAGGCTGATGTCTCCATCTACGACATTGGCAAACTCCTCACCACAGCCCCCAACATCTGCTCTGGAGAAAAAAAGAAACAATCTTGGTCATGGTAAGTGATGATGTACTCTTTTGGTATTGCTTTTTATGCTTCTAATCAGTGTTTTTATTACTGCTGCATCTGCTGTAGTTACTGTTATCTAATAATATGTTTTCCATGCCAACCATTAGGATCTCCACATCGGATTAAAAGGCGCAAACTTACATCTGAGATATGGGAAGATTTTGAGGCAATATATGACCGTGAAACTGTGGCTGAAGCTCGGTGCTTACACTGCCATAAGTTATTCAAGGTAAACCGTGATGTTGGTACAAGTGCTTGCCTTAGACATATGCGTAATTGTGAGGGTAAAACTAGAATGAATCAGATGTTGTATCAAATGAATTTAATGCAGTATGCTCTTGTTTAGCAGTCAGCAGCAGCAGCCAGCTCAGACTTCTTGTTCAGAGCTTACGGCGAGGCAGTGACAGCAGCAGTCAGCTTATGATTTTCATCTCTATGCTGATAGATGCTAACTTGCATGTTTTTATGATAACTCATGAATGGTGAAAAAATGTAAAAAAAAATCAATCACATATTCCTAACGATACATAGTATTTTGTGTAACTTACGTATATTTTTTAGCTAACATATGGATCACTAAAAAAATTCGTGAAGTAAATAAGAAAATGAACACACACGTACACAACCAGTCACTATTCTCATTTCCGTGCAAGGCAGTAGTGACAAACGGGATTGCGGCCGCCGCGACAAACGCCGCATGCGTACGCGGCTGAAAACAGGCCGCCGCAGAAGCCCGCGAACGACGATGCGGCGCTTGCGGACGCTGGACGGGCTGCTCGCCGCCGCGCCGTTTGCAAGTTTAAGCCCAAGGCCGGCCTCATGTCCACTTCACCGGAGACCAGGTCATCCGTCTGAGCCCCTCTGCAATTTATATCGCTACCGCTTTTCTCTTTCTCTACCTGCACATTCACAATACCTGTGCACTGAATTCTTCCTGTCAATTCCTGTTTTCAGGCACCAGGCCTTCAGCTTTAATTTTATGAGCCTTGGATGATGTAATTTTCATCAAACTTAGGAATGTTTGGCCATGACTTGTTATGGAATTATTTATCGTAATCACGTTTGTCTTTCGGGGATAGGCACTTGAATGTTGTGTCAAAACATTTTTGTTTTCATAAGTCTGCTTTAATAGTTATGATTTTGAATTTAGACGTTCTTTGTGCCACCGAGTTCGCCATACCTTAACATTTTTCTATCCTCCACCACTGGTTCCGGCTGGGATGTTTTCTGCATCAACGTGCCGGCCCAAAGGATGGAGCCTGCGAACCTGCACTATAGAGTTCATGAATGAATAGTTGGGAAATCCACATTGCATCTGATATTTTTCGGAAGGATTTTATGTTTCTCATTTCCCAAACTATTGCTGATGCACTTAGAACGAAAATAAATATTGTTGTCGTTCTCTAATCAGAGTCGAGAAGCTTATTTACATGAGAATACTCAACCGATGACCTGAAACTAGTCATAGGCATCATGGGACTATGCTAATCATGATTCTCTCCCACATTAATTCTTGGCACTTCGTGAAAATGGAGAAAAAACGTAGAAATGGAATTGATGAGTAGTTCATATTTCCCTATCATTTTTCCTACTGTCCAGTTAAGTAGGTGGCTGCTGACTAACCGTGATATTTTAATTTGCCAGTTGTTTATAAGGATAGGTTACACGGCCAACTTGCTTGGGTTGGTAAACGTATTGTGGGCCTCCCGAACTAATTGAGGATATGTGCTGTCTTAATCATCAGTGGTGCCGCAATATTTAGCTCTCCATCAATCCTCAGAGAGCAGTCAAGCACAAGCAGGACACCTTAGGCGGCCGCAAGACCTTCGAGTTCTAGGAGGTTAGCGCTTCCATCTTCGATCTCGTTTCTGGTTTGAGTTAAGCACCTCCTTCGCACATACAAATTCTATATCCTGCAGCGATGCTGTTGACGTGTAGTATATGCACGAACGAAAAATTCTATTTGAGCACCTGCTCCGTATACCTTATTTTAATTACTAGCATAATAGACACCAGTGGGAAGGCGTAAATTCAAGAGAAACCAGTGTGTGCAAGGGCCTGTTTTGATGAGCTAGAGCTAGTTACTATTTGGATAAAAAAATTAGTTCAAATTAGTTGAGGTTGACTAGCTAGTTGGCTATATATTTAGTCATTTGGCCCGAGCACTATGGGCCGGCCCAAGCACGACACTAAGAAGCACGGCCTAGGCACGGCCCGGCCCGGCTCGCTTCGTGCCCGTGCCTGGCACGGCCCGGTCGTAGTGTCGTGCCTAGGCCGCCATGTCGGCCCACTGTGCCGGCCCAGGCACCCAGGCACGGCACGAATAATGGGCCGGCACGACATGGCCCGTTTATTCTCCACCGTTGATGAGCAGCTAATGAACCAGAGCCGTTGGATACCAGTATATAAGCATCCCTCCCTCACCTAAACCCTAACTTCCTCCTCTCTCTCTCCCCCCACTCATTTCCTCAGCAGCGCCGACGCGAAGACAGGAGGGGGCGGGAGGCGCGCGCAGTCGCGGGGCCATGCCCCGAGGGCCTCAGGGTGGCGGCGCGCCGGCGCATCTGCAGCAGTGGTGGGCAACCAGCTGCGGCAGAGTAGGGCGCGGCCGGCGGAGGCACATCTGCGCGTGGCGCTCGACCAGTGGCAACGGAGGAGCGCACAGGCCGGCAGCGACGAAGGAGCACGTGGCTGGTGGCGGCGCATCTTCTTCCCCAGTGTGGCCGGCGGCGGCGCATCTTCTTCCCCAGTGTGGCCGGCGGCGGCGCATCTTCTTCCCCAGCGTGGCCGGCGGCGCATCTTGTTCCCCAGCGGGCCGGCACGATCCCGGGGGGCTGTCGTGCCGATGGGCACGGCACGCCACGGCTAATCCTCCATAGGGGCCGTGCACAGGCGCACTGCACGGCGGCACTATCGTGCACGGCATGCAACTAATCTGCTGTGTTCGATCAGGTACTGGCCGTGCCGTGCTAGTCTTTGTGTGCGGCAGCCCGGTTGGCCAAGTATAGTTGACTAACAACTAATTAAAGATTTATTACCTCCATGTTTAAATGTATTAGGGCTAAAAATTAGTTAGATAAAAACTAGCCCTACGCATACACACAAATCCTAATATGTAATGCAGAGGTATGTCATTCTGAAATGTAAGTGAAGAAGGCAATAGAACTCTCTTCTTAGCATATCGATGGATTGCAGACATACTCCTGAAAAGGTTGTCCGTTTCCAAGGTTCAGAAACAGGTTGAGCACAACTATTTGCTGCACTATGAACGATCATAGAAGCATAGCACATACCAAAACCTATGAAAATACTGCTAAGTATAGAGATTTTGGACAACACCTTGATTAATCATTTTCCAAGGTTGCACTCTGTTGCAGACAAAACACAATCATGCAACCAAGGGTCTCTGTCACCATGTCAGTATGTCAGTTGAAGAAAAAGATGTATCATTTGGTTATGTACTTCCTCCGTTCCAATTTATAGGTCGTTTTGGTATTTCTACGTACACAATTTTTAGTATGTATTTAGACATATCGTATATCTAAGTGCATAGCAAAAGCAATGTACCTAAAAAAGCCAAGGCGACATATAATTTGTGACAGATGGGGTACCCTAAAATGCAGAATGGTAACCTGTGCTTTGGATCTAAGCACCTTCTCAAATGTTGGTGTCAGCTACCAACCAAGAATTTCAGTGCCAGTTATTGTTTTTCTGACACATTTTGCTGTACTTGATTGCTAATGCTGAAGAAAATAGTAATAGCGTATATACCTAGGGCATCTCGAAATGGTGAAAATAACTACTTTATTTTGTTTATTATATGTATGCAGAAAAGGCCTGGCCTATATCATTCGATCATTCATGGATCTAGAAATAAACTTAGAGGAGTTGACAAGGATTACTGACAATTTTTCTGTAGAGAAAATAGTTGGTTGGGGTGGTTATGGAGAAGTTTACAAGGTAATAACTTGTTATTTTCTTTAAGTTTACACTTTACAATGAATAACAAACACTTTTAATTATTCCTTAGAACAGGCAGAATACAAAGGGAAACAGATAGCGGTGAAGATGCTCGCCAAGGAATTGGCGACAAACAGTTTTTGAATGAAGTCAGTAACCATATGAAGGTCCAACATCCCAACATCGTACGGTTAGTTGGTTATTGCAACGTTCAAAGGAAGATAATTATTGAGCAAAACGATGGTGAACCACGCTAGGTTTTGATTTCCTCCCCGCACTTGCAGATTACAAGATCAATCATAGATTTTAGACTGATGAACAGGGACAACCTGACTCATATATGTATGCAATATTTTTCTTTCTTTCTTGCATGCGGGACATCCGATTCTACAGGTTGCTTTGATCACTCTTAATGGCAGCTGAGATGGTCGGTTCTGCGGTGGCCCAGGAGGCTGTTCACGAAGTCTTATCAAGAATCAAGGAGGGTTATGCGGAGAAGTCAGATGCAAAGGAGCACATAGAGAGGATGGAGATGGCCCACATCAAGCTAGAAGCTGCCCTTGAGACATCCAAGAAGTGGAACGTCACCAGCGCGCCACTGCTACGCTGGCGGAGCAAGCTCAAGCGTGCCACACAGGAGTGCAACCACACTTTGCGCTGGTGCAGGCAGTGATTACAAGAAGAGGAAGAAGTGCAGCAAGCGGTACAGAGCTCCTCCTTTCCTAACAGGGTTGCTCATACTGCTATGTCATTTGTTTCGTCAATCTTTAGTAGCGGTAACGACGACAAGCTCAGAGGATCCACCGTTCTCCGGCGATTCGAGCGCTTTGCAGATGGTGCGACCGAGTTCTTGAGGTATGTGGAGCTTGGTGGCACACCATGCAGATACATGTTCTCCGTGCCTCTTATACGCCATCTTCTCGCTGGCAAAGGAACAAAGTATTGCTTTGTTCGTGGGGGCCAACATCTCTCACTTATTCTACAGCCCTTTAGTCTGCCCAACAATGGGATGGGGTGGGGGGGGGAGCTTGGTATTCTTACTTGAAGATGGCAATGTGCCACAGAATAATTTCCTTCTTTCCCTCAGCTTACGGCTCTCTGAGAGTACTGATATAGTTGGGGTTGTAGTCAGATGCCTGCAGCTGTTCATACCGTACTTGAGCTCCATAGCCGAGACTGTGAAAACAAAGCTGACCCAGATGGGAACGCAAGACTTGTGTTGGGTGTTCGATGCTTATTCAGTTTATCACTGTGAAGAACAACAGAACAGACTTCACACCATGTGTTCTAAATGGTTTTGACCGAACCCATTTTGTTGTCAACAACAAGACCATCCCCATGCACAGAGCTCCTCTTCAAAATCATTGCCATGTGATATATACTTGGAATCAGTTTTCCAAGTGTATTTGCTAGGACATGTTACACTATCAGTTGGGAACAATAGGCTGAGTGCAGTCATGGATGGCGAAAGCCAAGCTACCTCATATCAGATGTTGTCGAAGTCCAAGCATGGAAGCGCGTACCTTCGGGTTGAGAAGACCTCATGGAGAGCAACTATTAGGAAGGAAACGCCGTAAGCAACGACAGGACAAGAAGGTTCCAGTTCAGGGATGGACAAGTGCTCACAATGAATTCGTTAGCTCATGGATTGCGCACATGCCTGCACAGTTGCAGGGCTCGGTCGTCGACTATTGGATTCACAAAGAAAAGCGATCCACACGACCGTTTTTATTGAAAACTAACGCCTGTGTCTATGATTGTGCGATCACGATGTTGTCTTCGCAAGATCACAGTTATTTGGCAAGGAAGCTCAAGATGTCCAGCACGTTAAACCCCTGAAGGATTTCCACTTGCTTGTACTACCTTGGTGTACATAAAAAAGTTGAACTGTTGGTGTGTGTTGCAAATATAGCTATAAATGTAATACTCTATTCCAAATTATAATACATTTTGGAATTTCTAAATATATTGTTTAATTTTTATTATATATCTAGACATAGTGTATCAGGACATTCCTCGGCCCTTTCACACATGTGTGCCACGATCGTTCCCAATGCGTGACTGGTTTTTCGTGGGGCCCATCCACACATGTAAGTAATGTGAGCACACATGGCAGAGCGTATGGAGGGTTTCATGAGTGCCTATGCTGATCGGTTTATTCAAACCTGGGTGAAGGATGTGCCAAGTATTGAAGTTGAGAGTACAAAGTTTATTTGTAATATGCTACTATAAAGTTTTTTTTTTAACTTAGCTACTAGCTGATGGTCACCTGGGAAAATATAAGACATGTGAGCAAATGGGTAAATGGGCCTACAACACCTAGATTGCTTCTTGCTGAGTCAAATGCGTAAAAGCTTGATCCATTTCATGGTCCGCGCGCTGGTAACTGAAACAGTCGACGTCCATTAGTGTGTGTCTATGTGCAAACGACCATGTCAACCGCTCCACATGGCATGGCAATGCTCCTCAGTCTGAAAACGCAAACTCTAGCAGGCGACGGTCACACGGTTTCAACACCATGTGACGGTCATGCCGGCGCCGGCGGTGCCGCCTCTGCCGAAGGCGGGTTAGGGTTTGGCCGTCTTCCCCGGATCTAGATCTCCGGCGGCAGGTTGGCCTAGCGGTGGGTTATGGTGGGTAGGCGGGGCTGCGAGACGGTGGAGCGTTGCGCCGGCCTTGGTGGTGGAGGTGGCAGTTTGGGCAGATAGGGGTGGGGGAGTCTTGTCGGTAACCGGTTGATGGATGCGGCAAATTAGCAGAGGTTGGCGTTGACGGGCGGGGGTGGAGGGCGAGCGGTGCAGTGAGGCGGCATGTCGCCAGCGCCCGTGGGCGGTGGTGGGAGGCGGCAAAGGGTGGGGGCGCATGCTCACGTGGGAGCGAGACCCATCATGCGATAACTCTATCCGTCTGGAAATATCTCATGTGTCTAGAAAGCCTCCATGCTCTTCAGTCTTCTCTTTTGAGTCTCCCTCGCCACAAGACAGCACCGTGGTTGCTTCCTTCCTCGCTCCCAACTGTCATGGTCACGGTTGCTTCCTCACAACGTCGCGCCTTACAATTATAAATCTCACACCAGTGGTGGAGTCAGAGCTAATATGAAGAGGGTGGAAAATGAAGGTCTAGATCAGATATTCCTCAAATAAAGGACTACATTGCTCTCACTATGAATTAATCTTCAATGGCATATGTATTATTTAGGACTCTTTTTGTAGTATTTCTGATTTTCTTTGTTTCTACTATTATCATGATTTTTTTCTAGTCTAAGAATTAGATTGTTGGAGGAAGGCGCCTCTAGCTTGACCCCCCACTCGTCTCCTGACCTTCTCTCCGGGCCTGATAACTGACCCCGCTGCGAGCCATAACCACCGCTACGAAGGTTTTCCTCCCCATCCCTTCTTTTCAGGTACCTTCCACGAGACTTGGCTCGGGGGCCACTAACTACAGGGAAGGGCGCAAGACCGTTGGCGGGAAGGAGAACCCCCGACTGACATGGCGAGGGTTCGCCAGAAGCCACGGGAGCGACCCGACAAGGAGCCGGCGGCAGTCCCATTCGCCCAGTTAGGGTTAGGAGTGGTTGGTCCCGGGTTATGGAGGATTATCTCATTGCCCACGGCCGTTGTATTGGTTTTGCTGGTCAGTCGTCAACCCTTTTGTAATTTCAATACGGCCCTGGGTATGGGCTATAAATACCCTAGGACGCAGTTGTTCAAGAGAGGCCGTTTTTGACAATTTATTGGGCATTTAATCCGCACTTATTTCTGGCGTTCCCTCTAGGATTCCCTCGCAAATCGCACCTGTATTGGTTTGATATGCTGTGGGAAACCCTCGGTCTCCCCCCGCCTAGCCTCTAGCGAGGGTGAGACACTAGGAGTAACCCCATATAGATTAATTCGATGGAGGCTAGAGACCTAAGGCAAATTAATTAATTTTGTTCCCCTTTTTTGTAATATTTATTGTTTTTTGTCAAGTTTTTCATCCTCTTATGTATCATAACACATATTTATTTCATTGTTGTCTATATTCTTTCCGTGCATGCATTTTCTTACGTATGATTGCTGTCGGCTTGAAGACCCTCCATGTCGTGGGTAACCTACCCATGACACTGGTATGCAGCTGCAGGCTTGCCGTTGGCTTCGGGCTCTGCTTTTTGCTCCAAGCTTTCCAGCCAAGATTTCTACGTTTAGTCACCGTCGACTTTGACTCCGGTTGGTCTTACGGTTGAATAATTCTGGCCCATGTCTGACGCGTTCCTAGAGGTGTGATACATATGTCGACCTCAGTGCTTGTTGCCCTCTACTCCAAAGTCTTCCTGTGTGCATATCATTCATGACAAATTTCCACGATGTCGCTCTCAAATAATGTACCTCTCCGTGTGTATGCTCATACAACTGGCTGGCCACCACCCTGCAACCTATTTTTCTCAAATAAACAGGACTACATATCGTCACATTCAGAAGTTAGCAATGCTACATCTAGTTCAACGTCACCAGGTTCTGATTTCCTCTGCTCTTGCAAAACTGATGAACAGGAACATTCTGACTCCTATGGCTATATGTATTGACAGATAGTATTTGTTGCTTTCTTCCCGATTGAGCATGCAGGACAGTCGAGTTCTACACGTTGCGTTGATCAATCCTAATGGCTGCACAGATGGTCAGTTCTGCAGTGTCCGAGGAGGCAGTTTGCCAAGCCTTATCAAAATTGGCATCGTTTCCTTCTTGGAGGCGTGGCTAGGCTTTCGAGCTCCGCCGTTGCTCTCACGTCGTCTGGCCTTGGCATTGCTCCAACATGTGTTGGTTGTGCTCAGAGCTGGTTGGTAGAGTTCGTTGTTTTTGCTAGTTGGTTCTTGGTTTCTTGGTTTGAATTGCTCTCATGTGCTTTTGTTGTCAGCTAGTTGCTAGTGCAGTTGAGTTGCTAGTCGGGACGTATTCGACCAAGTTGGCTAAAGTTTGAGCAAGTAGTAGGAGGGTAAAGTCATTATTAGTTGGTTGGATGATGTTCCAAAGTTGGCCAGGAGGAGTGTGCTCTCTCCGAGTCAGTAGTTTTTGGGCCCGGTTTTCACTAAAAAAAACTGACGCGCACGCCATCCATTCGGTGACAGCTAGATGAACTAAAGAGATTTTCATTGTTATGATGACCACATAGGAAGGTTAATAAGAAGCTACATAAAGGGATGTGTAGTGTAGCAATCAGTAACATTAATTCACGCTTTGTGATATAACACTACTATAAACTTGATTTTTAGCAACGGGAGTTTTTTTAGAGGCAGTGGCCTCCAAACCGAGCCGCCTCTAGAAATGCATTCGTTGAGACGTCTGTTATTTTGAGCCGCCCCTAACAATATCATTTTTAGAGGGGACTCTACTTTCAGCCGCCTTTAGAAATCGATTTATAGAGGCAGCTCTATTTCCAGCCGCCCCTAGAAATCTATTTCAGCCGCCTCTAAAAATAGGAGCTGCACAGTAAAATTTGATTTTTTTCGAACTACCTCGGATGGAGAAACGACCCGAACGAAAACTGTAAATCTAAAAAAATATGCAACTTTGTATTTGACAACTTTTTCATTTGAAATCATCTATGCATGGAAAATTACGTTTGAATTTCTCACATTTCAAATTCAAAATTTTCAAATTACCTTGGATGAAGAAACGACCAAACCAAAGTTGTAGATCTCGAAAAGTTATGCAACTTTGTAGTTGTCAACCTTTTCATTTGAAATCATCTATGTATGAAAAATCTGTGTTTGAATTTCTCACGTTTTGAAATGTGAAAATTTTCAAACAACCACGGATGGAGAAACGACCAAAACAAAAGTTGTATATCTCAAAAAGTTATGCAACTTTGTAGTTAACGACTTTTTGATTTGAAATCATCTATGCAGAAAATCTACATTTAAATTTCTCACATTTGAAATTCAAATATTTCAAGCGACCTCGGATGGAGAAAAAACAAAACTAAAGTTGTAGATATCGAAATTTGTTAACAACTTTTTATTTGAATTCGTTTAGGACCCCAAATACTCATTTGAAAATTGGATGAAGGTAAAATGAGGAGGACAAATATCCCAAATAGATACAAGTGTGTTATGGGAGAAGTGGTTAGGGGACGAATAAGTGAGGCCTGAGGTTGTGCATGTTTTTCACGCGAATAGTTGCTGACTAGTGATGGCGCGCATGTGGCTATTGGGTCTCCCAGGATTATTTTTTTATATTTTTTTTACCTGAATTTCTGATTTTCTGGACAAGCCGTCTCTACAAATCGATTTCTAGAGGCGGCTGGAGAACCACCTCTACAAAGTCGTACAAATTGTTCATTTGTAGAGACGAGGCGGCTTGTCAACCGCCTCTATAGAGGCATCACAGCCGCCTCTGAAGAGATTTGACCAATAATAAATAGCTAAAATCATATTTAACTGGCAGCTATACCACAGGCGTTATTTGACTCATGAAATAGTGATATTGCGAATATCTTTTTTTGAGGAAGTAATATATTGTGAATATCAAAGTTGAAGTATATTTTTTGGGTAACAACACGACACATGTACATACTTGTATTCTACTTTTATTAGTCCACCGTCGACTAGATTGCTCGGTCCTGTGTATGGAATTCTAGCGCACAATTGGACATGCTGCCCACACCTAACGCGATCCTAGCTAACTTCCATTAGCAAACTCCCATTGCCCACAATCGACGTCTTCCATTTGGTCCCTCTCACAAATGAAGACCACTCAATATGACCTCTCACAACTGACCGGCTGGGCAGGATAGATTCCCCAACTCTTGTGTCTCAGTTGCTGTGGTGTCAGACTCTCTGAGACCCTACACAGCTACTTCAAGTGTTCAAACACGCTAGGTTTTGATTTCCTCTCCGCACTTGCAGTTTACAAGATCATTCATAGAATTTAGACTGATGAACAGGGACCATCTGACTCATATATGTATGCAATATTTTGCTTTCTTTCTGTGCATGAAGGACAACCGATTCTACAGGTTGCTTTGATTAGTCTTAATGGCAGCAGAGATGGTCGGTTCTGCGGTGGCCTAGGAGGCTGTTAACGAAGTCTTATCAAGAATCAAGGAGGGTTATGCGGAGAAGTCAGATGCAAAGGAGCACATAGAGAGGATGGAGATGGCGCACATCAAGCTAGAAGCCGCCCTTGAGACAGCCAACAAGTGGAACATCACCAGCGTGCCACTGCTGCGCTGGCAGAGCAAGCTCAAGGGTGCCACACAGGAGTGCAACCACACTTTGCGCCGGTGCAGGCAGCGATTACAAGAAGAGGAAGAAGTGCAGCAAGCGGTACAGAGCTCCTCCTTTCCTAACAGGGTTGCTCATACTGCTATGTCATTTGTTTCGTCGATCTTTAGTAGCGGTAACGATGACAAGCTCAGAGGATCCACCGTTGTCCGGTGATTCGAGCGCTTTGCAGATGGTGCGACCGAGTTCTTGAGGTACGTGGAGCTTGGTGGCACACCATGCAGATACATGTTCTCGGTGCCTCTTATACGCCATCTTCTCGCTGGCAAAGGAACAAAGTATTGCTTTGTTCGTGGGGGCCAACATCTCTCATTTATTCTACAGCCCTTTAGTCTGCCCAACAATGGGGGGGGGGGGGGGGCTTGGTATTCTTACTTGAAGATGGCCATGTGCCACAGAATAATTTCCTTCTTTCCCTCAACTTACGGCTCTCTGAGAGTACTGACATAGTTGGGGTTGTAGTCAGATGCCTGCAGCTGTTCATACCGTACTTGAGCTCAACAGCCGAGAATGTGAAGACAAAGCTGACCCAGATGCCAACGCAAGACTTGTGTTGGGTGTTCGATGCTTATTCAGTTTATGGCTGTGATGAACAACAGAATAGACTTCGCACCATGTGTTCTAAATGGTTTCGACCAAACCCATTTTGTTGTCAACAACAAGACCATCCCCATGCACAGAGCTCCTCTTCAAAATCATTGCCATGTGATATATACTTGGAACCAGTTTTCCAAGTGTATTTGCTAGGACATATTGCACTGTCAGTTGGGAACAATAGGCAGAGCGCAGTCATCGATGGCGAAAGCCAAACAAGGCCCACGAGAGACTTTCCATATCTGAAACTTGGAGCACACTTCTGGCCTCATGCCTCTTTTGAAGATTTGTCACCTACTGTCGGAGGTTCAGTGTCAGAGATAATCAACGATGAAGCCAAACAATCTGGCTTGTATGCAAACATTTCCTTTGAACAGCTGGGCGAGATCACGATGCCAAAAGCAGTAGATTGCCTTAGTAGGAATGTGGAGGCTACCTCATATCAGATGTTGTGGAAGTCCAAGTATGGAAGCGCATACCTTCGGGTCGAGAAGACCTCATGGAGAGCAACTACTAGGAAGGACAGAGTTGGAAAACGCCGTAAGCAACGGCAGGACAAGAAGGTTCCAGTTCAGGGATGGACCGCTGCTAACAGTGAGTTCAATATCTCGTGGATTGCCCACACGCCTGCCCAGTTGCAGGGCTCGATCGTCGACTATTGGATTCAGAAACAAAAGCCATCCGCACTACCGTTGTTATTTAAAAATAATGCCTGCGTCCATGATCGTCCAATCACGATGTTGTCTTTGCAAGATCACAGTTATTTGGCAAGGAAGCTCAAGATGTCCAGCATGTGAAACCCTTGAAGGATTTCCACGTGCTTGTACTATCTTAATGTACATAAAACAGTTCAACTGTTGTTGCGTGTCGCAAACATATGATTATCTAGGGTTGACCTATAAAATGTAATACTCTCTCTATTCCAAATTATACGATATTTTAACATTTCTAAATATATTGGTGTTATTATATATCTAGACATAGTGTAACATAACATTCGTCGGTCCTTTCACGATCGTGCGCTAAGATCATTCCGAATGCGTGGCCAGTTTCTCGTGGGGCCCATCCGCACACATGGATGTATGTGAGCGTACATGGCTAAGCGTACGGAGGGTTTCGTGAGAGCCTATGCTGATCATCTGATTGAAACATGGGCGAAGGATGTACAAAGTTTTGAAGTCGAGAGTACATTCCTGGGTGGCTGCTGGTTTCAATGCTCTGTCGCTGCTTCTGGCGCTGGCTACGGCCTGAGCTTATGTTGTAGACTCCTTTGTGGGTTGGCAATATAGGCGCTGGGCTAAGAGGGCCACAGCCAACAGCAGTGGCTGAGGCATCAGTTAGGTTTAGAAGAGAATAAGGATCTGATGGTTATTTGTTAGGAAGTGCACCTAGACTATAAAGGAGGCACTTTTTGAATGTAATCAGTTTTATTGAAGAAGAATAGAACCTCCCAGCGGGTGGGGTTCCTCTTCAACGGTGGCTGCGCGCGGTTCAGCCGCTGCCGCTGGCGATCTCCCCACCATGCCATTGCGTCACTACCCTCTCCGTTCCAATTCCCAGTCTAGGCTGCTTCTCCAATCTCCTCTGCGCTCTCCACGGCATCCACGCCGTATCAATTTGGTATCGGAGACCATCTCTGGTGCATCGACCTCCATGTCCAGCACCATTCCCAATCCTGCGGCCATGGATGCCAAGCTCGACCGCATTTTGGGCCAACTGACCACCATGAAGAATCGCCTCAACTCCCACAACGCCCGGCTCGCGTGCATGGAAACGGGCAAGCCCGCTGCTGGCAAGGGCGCCGGCGGGGATGACGACCAGGGCGGTAACGACGAGAACCGTGGTGGCGGTGAGGATGAGGATGACGGGCGCGACGTGGAGCGGGATCGCGCCTGGGCAGCCTTCCACGAATGCACGCTTCGCAATCGGGAGCATTACTTGGACTCGTCCGATTGCTTTGACCGTGGTGATCAGGGGCGCTTCGACCGCGAGTTTTACGGACGCGGCAGCCGCGACTATGATGATCAGGGCCCGCGTGACTATGAACGCGTCAGTCGTGACTACAACCGCGGGCCTCGGGATTTCGACCGTGGTGGATGCCGCGGCTACGATTGCGGCTTCTGGGACTTCGACCGCGATGGCCGTCCCTTCGATTGCGGTGGCCGTTACCGCGGGGATACCGACGGCCACCGCGAACCCCACCGCCCGTCCAGGATCTCCTTCCCCAGCTTCGACAGCGAGTCCGACCCGTTGACATGGCTGAACAAGTGCGACAACTTCTTCCACGGCCATCGCACGCCGGAGGATGAGAAGGTGTGGATGGCGTCGCTGCACCTCAACGGTATCACTGTGGAGTGGTACTATAAAATGGAACGTGACTTTGGCATGGTTCCATGGCCGCACTTCGTCGACTTCATCAATCTCCGCTACGGCCCCCCCATCTGCGTCAACTCCCTCACCGAGATCAAGGCCCTATGCCGTACGGGGACGGTGGAGGAGTACTCGCGGCGCTACCTCACCCTCCTTTCGCACTGCGACCACCTCTCCACGCGCACCAAGATCGATCTGTACGCTGGTGGCTTGGGCCAGCCCCTAGCCTCCGACGTGGAGATGCAGCATCCGATGAACCTGTAGCAAGCCATGAGCCATGAGCCATGAGCCACGGGCAAAGGCAGACGGAGGCCTCGACTGTCAATAGCTCCACGGTGCCTAAGCCTTTGGGGCGTCACGACAGCGTGTCGGCCAGCATTGGCATCTCGAGCACCATCACGTAGGACGGCAAGACTGAGGGTCCGCGCCCTCACTTTCGTCATCTCACAGCGGCTGAGATGCAGGAGAAACGACAGAATGGGCAGTGTTACTTTTGCCCTGAGCCATATAGCAAGGAGCACAAGTGCACCGCCAAGGGTGGTGTCTTCCTCATGGACCTGGTAGACGACGAGGAGGACCCGCTCAGCGGCATCACCGACTTGGAGATCTCCCTCCACGCACTAACTGGCCTCAACTCCGCTGATTCCATGATGCTGTAGGTCATAGTAGGCGGCGTACAGCTGCGGGCGCTGGTGGACACTGGCTCCACCCACACGTTCATCCACTTAGCGCTCACGCAGCACCTGGGTCTCATTGTCTCCCCGCATGCTGGCCTCAATGCCATGGTGGCCAATGGTGACCAGGTGCGTAGCCCTGGCATCTGTCTCGCTACTCCAGTCACCATCTACGATGAGGTGTTCTCCATCGACTGCTTTGCGCTCGACTTTGGCGCCGTCGACCTGGTCCTCGGCGTTCAGTGGCTGCGAACACTCGGGCCCATCATCTGGGACTTTGGCGCCCTGGCGATGTCCTTCTGGTACAATGGCCGCTCCCATCACTGGAGCAGTGTGAGCAGCCGGGGCTTGGCCGCTCGCGCCATCACTGATCCCCCCGCTGTCCTAGAGGAGCTGCTGCAATCCTACCAGGACATCTTTGAGGAGCCTTGCGGCCTGCCGCCACCATGCCGCCACGACCACCGGATTCACCTCCTGCTGAGCACCCCGCCGGTGGCGGTGCATCTGTACCGGTACCCGTAGCTCCTCAAGGATGAGATCAAGTGGTAGTGCGAGGACATGCTGGGCCAGGGGATCATCCAGGAGTTGACTGCCGGTGCTCTTGGTCCGCAAGCATGATGACAGTTGGCACTTCTGTGTCGACTACCGTGCCCTCAATGGCGCCACCGTCAAGGACAAATTCCCGATCCCGGTGGTCGACAAACTCCTGGACGAGCTGAAGGGTGCTCGCTTCTTCACCAATATCGACTTACACAGCAGGTGGCACCAAGTGCATATGCATTCGGACAACGTCGCCAAGACCACCTTCCGGACGCACCGGGGGCACTTTGAGTTCCTCGTCATGCCCTTTGGCCTCACCAATGCACTGGCGACATTCCAGGCCCTCATGAATGATGTGCTGAAGCCATTCATCCACCGCTTTGTTTTGGTTTTCTTTGATGATATTCTAATCCATAGTCCCTCGTGGGCTGTACACTTACAACATGTCAAAGCGGTGCTGCAGCTCATGCGCAATCATCGTCTCTTCGCCAAGTGGTCCAAGTGCTACTTCGGCGAACCATCCGTGGCCTACCTCGGCCACATTATCTCCGCCGAGGGTGTTGCCATGGATGCTGAGAAGGTCACTGCGGTGGAGGCTTGGCCTCATCCTCGCTCGGTCCGCACCCTGCGTGGGTTCCTTGGCCTCACCGGGTATTTCCAGAAGTTCATCGCCGGTTACGGTGGCATGGCGGCGCCGCTCAATGCCCTCCTCAAGCGGGAGGCCTTCACCTGGACGGCCGCAGCGGAAGCCGCCTTCCTCGCCCTCAAGTCGACGCTGGTCACCGCACCCCCCTCTAGTTACCGGACTTCATCAAGCACTTTGTCGTGGACTGCAACGCGTCCGGCACTGGTTTTGGCACTGTGCTACACCAAGGTGATGGCGCCATTGTGTTTTTTAGCCGGCCGGTCGCTCCTCACCACGCCAAGCTGCCAGCCTATGAGTGCGAGCTTATTGGGCTGGTCAAGGTCGTCCGTCATTGGCGGCCTTACCTCTGGGATCATGCATTCACCATTCGAACCAGTCACAGGAGCCTCGAGTTCCTCCTCGACCAGCACCTGACGACCATCCCTCAGCATACATGGGTCTCCAAGCTGTTCGGGTATAACCTCATGGTCGAATACCACGCAGTGAAGTTCAACACCGTCATGGACGAGCTGCCCCGCCGTGACGAGGAGGCGGCGCTAGTGGTCCTATCCGGCCCACTCTTTACTGATTTCGACACCCTGCGTGTAGAACTGCAGGAGGATGCAGCAGCATAGGACCTGCACCATCAGATTGCTGCTGGCATAGCACTAGAGGGGTGGCAGCTGGTCGACGGGCTGCTGCTATACAACAGCCGCGTCTTCGTCCCGGAGAGCTCCAGCCTTTGGCCAAAGTTTCTCCATGATGCCCATGAGGCCGGCCATGAGGGTGCTCAAAAGACCCTCCATCGTCTGCAGGCTTCGTTCTACAACAGCCGCCCACATCGCCCGGCCCACTCTTTATTGATTTCGACACCCACGCAGAACTGCAGGAGGATGCAGCAGCACAGGTCCTGCGCCATCAGATTGCTGCCGGCATAGCACGGGAGGGGTGGCAGCTGTTCGACGGGCTGCTGCTATACAATAACCGCGTCTTCGTCCTGGAGAGCTCCAGCCTTTGGCCACAGTTGCTCGTGATGCCCATGAGGCCGGCCATGAGGGTGCTCAAAAGACCCTCCATCGTCTGCAGGCTTCGTTCTACAACAGCCGTGCACATTGCCTGGTCCGCGACTTTGTTCGAGGGTGCGCCGTCTGTCAGCGCAACAAGATGGAACATCTCCACCCGGCGGGTCTCCTCTAGCCCCTGCCTGTGCCGTCTGGAGTCTGGAGTGACATCGCCATGGATTTCGTGGAGGGCTTTCCACGGGTCGGCGGGAAGTCAGTCATCCTGACAATCGTCGATCGCTTCTCCAAGATGGCTCACTTTGTGGCCTTGAGCCACCCCTACTCCACACAGTCTGTGGCCTGGGTTTTCTTTGACAACATCGTCCGGCTTCATGGCTTCCCGTGCTCAATTGTGAGTGACCGTGACACGGTCTTTACCAGCCACTTTTGGGAGGAATTATTTAAGTTTGCTGGCGTCAAGCTCCTGCGCAGTTCGGCCTTCTACCCAGAGATGGACGACCAGTCTGAGGTCACTAACCGCATCATCAGCATGTATCTGCGGTGCCTTGCCGGTGATCGTCCTCGCT